TGCGGATAGACCACCTATAGTTTTATTTTTGCAGATAGACCCCCTGAATGAATTTTTTAACACGTAAAATAGTCAAAAAGGTTTTGAGGAGGCATATAGATCCCTTAATACTTCTATTGTAATCCTTTTTTACTCATAAAAGAGTTCAAATAAGTTCACTAAGAAGGTTGATGAGATTTGGGGAAAATATTAGGGTTGCTTTCTCTCATTGAGAGACCCTTCTTTTATATTAATGCATTCTTACAACTAGGTCCTTACAACATTGACTAATTCACTTAGTATCTAAATAACTCAACACTCCCCCTCAAGATGGGCGATAGATATCAATCATCCCCATCTTGTTACAAAAGATATTATGCTCTCTAGAACCTAATCCTTTTGTTAAACAATCAGCTAACTGCTCTTCTGATTTCACATAGCTCAAAGTCAGAACTCCTCTATTCAGTTGCTCCTTGATAAAGAACCGATCAATCTCCACATGTTTGGTGCGATCATGCTGAACTGGATTATTTGCAATATTAATTGCCGATTTGTTATCACACCAAAGTTGTAAGGAGTCTCTTCTAAACAAGCGCAGCTCAGATAATATGTTTTTTACCCACATCAACTCGCACAGACTAACTGCCATAGCTCTGTACTCGGCCTCAGCTGTAGACCTAGCCACCACATCTTGCTTCTTGCTACGCCAAGATACGAGATTGCCTCCAACAAATACACAGTAGTCTGTAGTGGATCTACGATCATCCATACAACCCGCCCAATCAGCATCACAATAGCCTTCAATTCTCAGATGTCCAAAACTCCTGAACCATAACCCCTTTCCTGGGCTTCCTTTAATATATCTAAGAATTCTGCGAACTGCCTCCATATGCTGCTCTCTGGGATCATGCATATATCTACTCACCACACTCACTGCATGAGTAATATCAGGTCTCGTATGACATAGATATATAAGTCGTCCAACTAATCTTTGATATTGCTCTTTACTCACCGGGTCACCACCCTCAGTACACATCTTATGATTCTGCTCGATAGGAGTAGATGCAACTCTGCACCCCAACATCCCTGTCTCTGAGAGAAGATCCAGAGCATACTTCCGCTGAGAAAGCACTATACCCTTTCGCGACCTTGCAATTTCAATTCCGAAGAAGTATTTCAACTGTCCCAGATATTTAACTTCAAATTCCTCTCCCAATTTCTTCTTCAACAGTAGGATTTCCTCAGCGTCATCTCCAGTGATTACAATATCATCAACATAGACCGCCAGGATAGTGATACGAGTTTTGGAGTGCCTGTAAAACACAGTATGATCACCATTGCACTGCCTGTACCCCATACCACAAACTGCCAACCTGAATCTATCAAACCATGCCCTCGGAGACTGTTTTAACCCATACAAAGACTTCTTCAACTTGCACACCTTCCCAGCTACTTGAGAAGTAACGAAGCCTGGTGGAATCTCCATATACACCTCCTCCTGGAGATCTCCATGCAAAAAGGCATTCTTGACATCTAGCTGATGTAGTGGCCAATTAAAGTTGGCAGCACATGACACCAACACTCTAACAGTACTCATCTTTGCTACTGGAGCAAATGTCTCGTCATAGTCAATGCCGTATGTTTGGCTGTAGCCTTTAGCAACCAATCTGGCCTTGTATCTGTCGATCTTGCCCTCTGGAGTTTGCTTAACCGTATACACCCACTTACATCCAACAGCACGCTTCCCAGCTGGCAAAGGTACCAACTCCCATGTGTCATTCTTCTTCAAGGCCTGGAGTTCCTCGTGCATGGCATTCAACCACCTAGGATCTTGCTTAGCTACCTGCCAGTTGTTAGGTACAGGCACTGAATGCAACGATGCAATGAATGACTTATATGCAGGTGGAATGGATGCATATGAAATGTAATTCGCAATATCAGTATCCCAATTATCAAACTTAGCTGGAGGTTTTCCAGCATTGACTCTAGAGGTTCTGCGGGGCAAGACAGGAGTATCAGAGGTATCAGGGAAGGAATCGTTACCTATCGACTCAGGTGGAGGAGAAGAGCAAGGCACTGGAGAGGAGGGACTTGGGTCATCAACATTTGACATTTGTGGGTACTGACACAGGCACGGGAGGCGGCTCATGCTGCTGTTTCTGTCTCCTCGTGTATACTCTCAGCTCCCCCTGACTTTGACTACCAACTCCTAAGTCACCACCACTACTCGGCGATGTACCATCACTACTCGGTGACTCAAGAGGACATGGAATCATCCCGACCATAATATCATTCTCATTCTCATTCTCCCCCTCTCTACTGGCATCAGTAGAGCCATCTCCAAACAAGGAACTCAACTCCGTCTTCTCCCCATAAAAAGGTTCAAACTCCTGAAAAGTCACATCCATACTGACAAACAGCCTTCTTTCAGTGGGACACCAACACTTGTATCCTTTTTGACTTGATGAGTAGCCAACAAAGATACATTTAACTGCTTGCGGATCCAGTTTACTCACCATCAACCTGTGATCTCTCACATAACATGTGCATCCAAACACTCTTGGTGGAACAACAAAAACATTCGAGCCCAAAAGCATCTCACATGGTGTCTTCATCCCTAATACTCTTGATGGCATCCTGTTGATCAAATAAGCTGCTGTCATAACAGCCTCACTCCATAAAAACTTAGGCACATTCATTGTCAACATCAATGAGCGTGCCACTTCCAGTAGATGCCTGTTCTTACGCTCAGCCACCCCATTCTGAGCAGGGGTGTCTGGGCAGGTGGTTTGATGAACAATTCCCTGATTAGAGATGAAAGCTGCAAACTCCTTATTGACATACTCAGTCCCATTATCTGTTCGAAGAATCTTCACCTGCACTCCAAACTGTGTCTTCACATAAGCCGAGAAATCTTGAAAACATTTGTAAACCTCTGATTTCTGCTTCATCATGTATATCCAGGTCATACGTGAATAACAATCAATGAAAGTAACAAACCATCTAAAACCACTGATAGAGGTAGTAGGACATGGTCCCCAAACATCAGAATGGACAAGTGCAAATGGTTCATAACTTCGAAGACCAATCATTCTATAAGTAGAACGAGTATGTTTTCCAAGTTCACATGCATTACAAAATAACTCTTTTCTATCCACTTTCTTCATTAACTCAGGTTCTAATCTATTTAAACTCTCAAAAGATAAATGCCCTAACCGGCAATGTTGAAGCATCGCTTCTGCCTCTGGCCCTCCGCTAACAGCAGCAGCAATCATTGCTGTCTCCCTGTCCAAATACCAAAGACCATCACGTCTGATACCAGTCCCAATCCTCCTCCCCGTTTCCTTCTCTTGAAAGACACACAAATCTCGATCAAATAACACGGTGCAATTTAATTGATCAATGAGAGAGCTAACTGAGAGTAAGTTAACTGGAAACGAAGGAACATGCAATACTGATGACAAGATAACAGATGAAGTGCAATGGACCGAGCCAGTACCCCTGATGGGTTGGGATGTCCCATCAGCAGTCTGAACTGTCTCAGGATGCATATGCTTACTCGGATAATATAATGCAAACTCACTAGATGTTCCTGTGACATGCCTAGATGCACCTGAGTCTATGATCCAATCAACATGAGTTTTAGTGGATGCAAGTGCCTGAACCTGTGTACCTTTGTTCGCATGAGCATAACCAATAAAGTTACCAAAGCATGTAGTGGTAGCCAGATCCTGGGTGACTTGTCCCTTGCCCTTCGAACTCTCAGTCTGAAGCTTGAACAGACGTAGTTCCTCCAACTCTGTTATTTCAGCTCCAGTCATCCCAGCAGTAGTCTGAGACTCATCTGTCACAGCTAGGTGAACAACTCCTTGGCCTACACGCCCCCTGCCTCCTCGACCTGCACGGCCACCAGTCTGACCACTTTCCCCCCAGTTCCTTTCTCTGGGTGGCTTAGGGCACATCTGTCTCAGATGCCCTACCTCTCCGCAGTTGAAGCACTGCCTAGTCTCCCCTTTGAATCCAGTGTTATCCGGGTTGGATACCACTAGTACAGACTTCTCCCCTGTAAGTCCACCTATCCCAGACTGTAGCCTGATACGGCTCTCCTCCTGTATCATGGCCGAGACTGCCTTCTCCAGTGGTGGGATCTTCGTCTGGGTTAGTAGCAATGCCGTCCTCTGCTCATACGCTGGAGCCAAACCTCGGAGAAACAACATGGTCCTCTTCTGCAAAGAGGCCTCGCGCTCCTTGCACTCCGGGTCCTTGCAGCTTGCTAGGGGCGAGAAGTGATCGTGATCGAGCAACGAAAAAAATCCGGCAGCACTTCGACAGTACAACAAGATAGATGGATCAACAAGAATTCCTGTTTCACCAAGGAAACAAGAACCAGAAGCAAGATATCTCAACAAAGTGAGATATCAGCTCTTCTCTCATCAGTTCTAGGACTGACTTGTCGAGGGAAACTAAATAAACTATTACAAATCAAGAACACAAATCAAGAACCTCTCTCCTCTTTTTTTTAATACAGATTTTTTTTTATCTAATCAGTAACAGTCATCTCCTCTTCCACAAAATCCCCAACTCACAATAAAAAATACCTTCTCTTCTTCCTTCATTTCCTTCATTTCGAACGTCAATCGGTCACAGCAAAAATATCTTCTCTTCTCTTTCAGCAACAGTACCCAAGAAAACAATTTAAAAAGAAGAAACACCCCCTCCGAAAGCCAATCTCCACGAAATGTCCGTCCGAAAACCCTTGAAATTTCTTGAGAGAGATTAATGGCGGAGTACAGCGAGCTGAGAGAGGCGATCTTCAACGTGAAGGCGATCGACGCTCACGCTCACAATCTCGTCGATCTCGACTCCTCATTCCCCTTCCTCCGCCTCTTCTCCGAGACCGAGGGCGACGCCTTGGCCTTCGCGCCTCACTCTCTCTCCTTCAAGGTCTCTCTCTTCCTCTCTCCTCCTCTGTCTCTCTCAAACCCTAGAACTAGGGTTTTCTCCGTCGCTTCTACTCGATCTCAAACCCAAGGGCTTCGGGTTCATCAGCCCTAACGACGGCAGCGACTGCTACAGAACTGGTGGACTCGACGGCATCAGAGAGGACTCGATGGCTTCAGATCGTCGTCGTCGTTGACTGCCAACCCCGATCGTCCCTCACTTCCTCTCTCTTCAAGTCCGATCGTCGTCGTCGTCGTTAGGTGGGAGCGTCGTCGTTGTCAGGTGAGAGCGTTGTCGTCGTCAGGTGAGTTGATTTCGATCAAGCCGATGGCTAATGCATTCTTACAACTAGGTCCTTACAACATTGACTAATTCACTTAGTATCTAAATAACTCAACAAAGGTACTTCGCACTTGGACCAATACCACAAGGGGTGTATCCTCACAAATAGAACTACAGGGGATCTATTCACAATTGGGTGATACTACAAGGGGTTTCTTTGCAGTGAACCCCGGAATATAATCGTTGATTGCTTATTGAAACATACCAGAGAGACTATAGCAATCAGCTTACCACCAATCTCAGTAATCCATGTGATTGTTTGAGAGATTTAATCTAATGGTGATTACAGGTACGAGGAATTGGATCCTACCAAAATCATAAGATGAGCATATCATCTACAACTACAACAACATTAGACTGGCTTTCATATTCTGGATGTAGACCCCAAATAAATTGTTGAGGTCTCTGTATTGGGCTAGGATGAGAATAATGTACAAGTTTGTAAAGGAAAGTGTGAAACTTGTCAAAGGCATATAGACGCCCTCAATCACAAATTTGTAGTGGAATTCTAGAAAGAGACTAGAGTTTGGGATTTCATCTGGCCTGCAAAGTTACTTGAAAAAAAACCAGCTACATTATACTAACCTCCAGGTTTCTTTTGGATCTCCACTAGTTACGCATAGCTCAAGTGAAGAATAAGTGTAACTACATGTGTCAATCAGTTGATCAAGATATGCTGTCAACCAGCCTATGATGCATAGATCAAAGGAGTACATTAGAAAGAAAGCCCCATTGAAAAAATGCATATACCTAAATTCACGAAATTTTTGATTTGATAAAGCCTTCAAAGGGGTTGTGTAAAAGAGCCTCCTTCCTCTAGCAATTGTAGCTACAGCTGCAGCCTCTGCAATTAATGTTTTTCCACTGCTTGTTGGCGCAGAAACTACAACTGAAGAACCTCTCAAAAAGGATTGAATAGCCAAACGCTGCACAAGGTATGAATATGATACTTAAGAGGAAAAAGAAATAGAAAAGGTGTGATATGTAAGAAAGCTAAATTTTTTGTCCAGAACATGTACAGAAGTAGTAGGAGAACCGCATATAGTTGCACTTGTTTTGTGGCAGTGATCAATATCAAGAAGTAGCACATGATATGGATCACAAGCAACAATGCAAGTTTGGCAGACACAACCATCAAAGGCGAGTTACTTCAAGTTTTACTAGTATATGATTCATGCAGCCCAACCAACAGAGTTGGAATGGAAATATTATTTGTGGTTGTGGTAGTTTGGGTAGTTTGTTTGTGATTAGTTTAAGCTTCTTTCAGTTAGTTTTTACTAAATTTATAACTAATGGAAGATCCTAGTATCCACCACGACCTGTGACAGGTCAAACAAGTGGTTAAAATCTTGAAATATCTTTTAAATAAACTACCTTGAAAGCATAGTTACATAGTTCGCGGTATGTAGCAGGTCGTCGTACGAATTTGGGTACTCAATTCGAGACTTCGAAATTTTGGATTTGACAGGGGGTAGCTTGCTTATTATTTTTCCAAGTGTATAGTAAAAAATTAGAAACTAGAAAACTAATTATGCATTTCAATATTTTTTCATACAAAATACTTTAACACTTCATTTTTATAGTCCTCCAATTGAAGTGCCTAGGGCTCACATTTGTCAGTGGACCCGCTGAAGTTCATGGAGTGTCAATAAGCTTACAACCACATGTGAACCCTATCTGAGAATTGGGTATAAACTTATTTTTCTAATCTAACCACATAAACATATTTCGTTGTAGTTGGTATGAGAATAAAATCCATCTTGTTACCATTTATTGGAATTTGGACGCAAAACAGTAAACACTCAAATTTACATATATTAGGAGCCTATCGAAGATGAAAGCAAGTTCTCCTTTTATTTTATATCAAATAGTTGCACAGAAGGAAGTGAATATATGTCCTATCAAAAGTAATCTAAGCTCATTGCATAACATCATACTGCGTATATAGTGGCCAAATCAAAATACTGCAAATCAACAGAGTGGTTAGTGGACTTAGAACCCATTTGACCCCAAAAGGAAAAATTGTACTAAACTTTATAAACTTATCTAGCCACTTTTTTTAGTCGTTACTCAAAATAACATATAATATTTCGCTCACTCTACTTGTTTTGGCAAAATAATAATAGTAAGAATAATTATGATGATGATGATGATGATGATATCTCATCTAGGACTTTCATCAAACAGTTATGCAGGTTATGCAGGTAAAAATTAACAAAGATTTGTTCTACGCTAAAGCATTGGGTTTTAATGGATCAAAACCTGAAATTTATCAACGGGAAAATCATAAACGCTCGCAATCTCATCGAAATCAAGAATATCATCTCCGAGCTCCTTGACCAGAGCAAAAATCCTCTCTATCCTCTGCAATTTATTCCCCTCCTTCACCTCAGATCGCGACGAAGTCAGTTCAACTCCAAACTCCTCCTCCTCCTCTTCAGAGACCTCCACCAGCGCCTCATCGTACTCTTCGACCGCCGCCGCTTCATCGTCATCGTCGTCGTCATCGTCCTCATCTTCGTCCTCGCTGGGATCGGATGGAGAGAGAAGATCTTGATGCTGAGGGTTCTTTGATGAGAAGGCAAAGGCGAAGGCGGGGGATCGGCGATGGCAAAGGCGGAGGCTAGGGTTTGGGATGGGGAATCTGCAGAGGAAATATAGGGTTTGAGAAATTTTGGGGGGAGAGAGGGGAGGAGAGAGGAAGAGAGATGAGAGCTCGGAGGAGGATGGAGCGAGGGAGCGCATGCTAGCGGGAAAATAATGGGCGAAGCGGTGGAGCACGAAATGTTGCCTTATCTTCAAAAATAAATATGGGCTTCTGCTGTATATGGGCTTTTGTTGCTGGGCTGGATTCGGGCTGTTTGGTAGGCTGCACTTGTAAATACAATAACTGTCGCGTGCAGAATTTGTTGCATGCTGTGTTTGTTGCAGGGAATAAATCTCAAACTCGTTCCTTGTATATTTATATTTTCATTATTGTAAATGTGTTTTAAAATTCAAATTTAATATTTAGTTTGTTGTAAAAGTTGTTAGATTTGCATTTTTTTTTACTGTAGGAAATGAATATCCATTGCAAACAAGTTTTTGTTTCTCTTCCAGTATAAAAAGATCTACACTTTTTTTATTTAGAATTTATTATTTTGATAATGTGGCATTAGTTTATTTAGTTTTTTAAGTTTTGAAAACTTGCAATATTGTTATGGCCAAATTCACTTTTTCTTATTAGTGGGTAGAAGTGAATAAAAATGACCAAAAATCATGGGTAGCTCATGAAATTGTGAATTTTAAACTTCGTAAAATTATTTACCAAATGTCAAAGAGAATAAAAAATGGCAAAAATAATGGGTAATAGCTTATAAAATAGTGAATTTTGAACTCCACAAAATTATTTGCCAATGTGATGAAACGACTAAAAATAGCCAAATCTCGAGGGTTATAGCTCATGAAATCATGAATTTTTAACTCTACAAAAAAAATTTGTCAATTGACCAAAATAAATAAAAATCACCAAAATTATGTGTTATGGCTCATTAAATCATGAATTTTGGACTCCGCAAAATTATTTGCCACTAGGTCGAAGAGAATAAAAATGGCAAAACGTAGCTCATGAAATTGTGAATTTTGAAGTTCATAAAATTTTTAGTCGATGTTATGAAATTGCTAAATTTGGCTAAATCAAGAGGGTTATAGCTTATGAAATTATGAAATTTTGAGCCTACAAATAATTTGCCACCGGGTTGAAACAAATAAAAATGACAAAAAATCATGGGCTAAAGCTCATATTTTATGAATTTTGGATTCTATGAAATTATTTGGTAATGTGTTGAATGGCTAAAAATATCCAAAAATCATGGGTTAGAGCTCATGAATTGTAAATTTTATACTTCATAAAATTATTTGCTAATAGGTCGAAATGACTAAAAAGGGCCAAAATTGTGGTTTGTGGTTCTAGAAATTATAAATTTCATCTTGCACAAAGTTATTTGCCAAAGAATTTGATCGACTAAAAATGACCAAAAAATCGTGGGTAAGAGCATATGAAATAGCAAATTTCAGACTCCGTAAAAGTATTAAGCAAATGAAAAATGCCAAAAATTATGGGTCATAGCTCATGAAATTATAAATTTTGGACTCGATGAAATTATTTGTCACTAGTTAAAAGCGAATAATAATGACAAAAAAATAGTGAGTAATAGCTCATAAAATCGTGAATTTTATCGTTATCTGCTAATGTGATAAAATGACTAAAAATGGCCAAATCTCAAAGGTTTATAGCTCATGAAATCATGAATTTTTACCTCATACCAAATAATTTGTCATTGGGTCAAACAAATAAAAATTATTAAAAAATAATTTATAACAACTCATAAAATCATGAATTTTAGACTCTACAAAATATTTAGTCATGGACCGAAATGACTAAAAATACCCAAAAAATATGGGTTATAGCTCATGAAATTATGAATTTTGGCCTACATGAAATTATTTGCCAATGAATCAGAATAATTAAAAACTTCCTGAAATCGTAGTTTATAGTTCATAGAATCATGATTTTTAGCCTCCTCAAAATTAGATTGTGCTGATGTCAATTATCAAACAGAGGGTTTGTATCATAGTTATGAGAGTGTTTAGGGTCCTCAAACTCCTTCAGATGACTGATTCCAGAGCCCGCTTTTCTTCCTTGCATATAAAAAACACGTAAAAGGGCGGAGTTGGGCTCTTTGGTTGTTTCTCTGACGATCAAGTCAGTATTTTGATCTTGAGTGGGAAATTGAAAGACAAATTGTATAAGTAGTTATTCAAAGTTGCCAAAAAGCAGAAGAAGTTACCCTACGCAGCGTAGTTCCCTTTTATAGTAGATTAGAGGGGTATAAAAGTAACTTCGACCGAGTCTAGTCATGCTGCTTAATCAGCAGAATGTGAGTCATCTTGTCATTTAATGAGGGAATGACAGTAGTGTTGGCCTTATTGTTTTGATGATGTTTAACAAATAATTTACTATTAATGTTGTTTGTCTAGTGTTTGTGTATTTCTATTTATTGTAGACAAACAACAAGTTGGAGGTTGGATGGATTGCGCTTCAACGATAATATCCAATGGAGGTTGGCGGAATAGTAGGTGAAGCTATGTACAATTCAAGTTGAAGATCCAAGTTCAAGCTTCATCTGCAAGTGTACAAAGATAAAGCTTCGTTGAAGATCACAAGCTTTGGGTAACTAGTTTAGGATTTATATTATGTGTGTTAAGTACTCTAAGCTCAATTATCTATACACACACATATACATACATGTGTTTTGGTTTCCATGTTTATAAATATGAGATTACATATTTCATATTTATTATTGTGTTTTAGAAAACATTGCATAGAATATGCATATTTGTGAAAATATTGTATTCTTAGTTTTTGGACTTAACAATATTCATATACATATTTTATTAAGTCTACAAAATCATTTTGTATTGTTTCAAAACATGGTTTAGCCAAAATATCAAAATTCATATGTTTACATTTTCATGTTTGGACTATTAAATGATGATATTTCTCATTTGGAAAGTCCTTTTAGAAAACCAGTTTTTGTAGCTTGTGTATTATCATGTCTACAATCATTTCCCAAAGTTTCATAATTTTTAGAATTTATTTGATATTTTTAAACAATGTTTTAAAGTCAGCAAAACAGTTTTCAAAACCTGTCTTTTCTGTGTCTGTTTGCGGTCGACCACCACGGTTGACCGCCCCTGAGTCAAGAGACTCAGAATAGTTTTTGTTGGCTCACGGTCGACCGTGGCGGTCGATCGTATGCAGTCCAGAAACTTTCACGGTCGACCGCCACGGGCGTTTGTTGCTGGCGGTCGCCCGCCGAACAGTCAAATCTGTTCTAACGGCTAGTTTTCAGAGCCGTTGCTGAGTTGGTTTTTTGGTCTTTTCTTGGCTTTCTCTTGGCTTTCTCTTGGCTTTGGGGTTTCATATAAATACCCCCTTATACCTCAGTTCTAATGTGGATCCAAGAAATGTTTTAAACAAGTTTTAAAAGAGTTTAAGTTTGTTTAGTTTGTTTTTGGGGTTTGCTGTTACAAAGAGGAGTTTGCATCATCTGTTGAGGAGTTCATCTTCAATATCTTCTCATCCTCTCTTTGTGTTTATAGAGAAGTTTTCTAACTCTTTTCTCTAGCAATATTATTATTGATTTTCATATTCTTATTATTGCTAGTTTGCTATTTGAGTTAGATTTGATTTTACTCATTGTTTACACACACACCCACTTGAGCTTATTGTATTTTTATACATAGTATATTTGGGTTGGTGAGAGTTGTAACAATTGAGTGTAAGCTTTTATTGTGTTCTCATCCATATTAGAGAATAATCATTCTTTGTATTATGCTTAATCGTGAGATCACTTTGTAATACACTTGTACACCGAGAGAAGTGTGTGGTGAGAGTCGGGGATCGTTCCAAGAGGAGTGGCGTCGGATGACGAACCTAGAGAGAGGTTGTAACCGACCACTTGAGGGAGACACGGCTAGGTCCAATACTTGTGAGGGTTGTAGACGGTAAAAAATACCTCTATAGGCTTACGGGAAATTCGCCTACGAGGAGAGCTCGCACGCTCAACTCTCTGGCACGGGCCTAAGTCGCGTAGACGTCAGATATGCTCGATTCTAGGTTCGCCTAACGGTCGGCTCGCCAGCACGAGTGGAGATCGATCAGGATGGCGGAAGTTCGCCCTTCACCCAACTCGCCTGCCCGAGTTCAGGGTCGAATCCGCCAGCAAGCCCCAAGACCGTCAGTACAGCTGGGTATCCAAGACCGTCAGTACAGCTGGGTATCCACTACCCCACGTGCTGAGATGGACCTTCCCATCCCTCTCGACCCGAAGGGAGAAAGAGCGCAGTACCCCAGGACCGTCAAACGGCCGCTCGCAGTACGCACAGCACGAAGGCCTGGACAGGTGTCGAGTCAACCTGAGTGTTCATAAATGCGACTCACCTCGGCTGTCTGAGCCAAGAGCTGGATCCGCCGGCACTCGGCAAGCTGGCTAGACCCACTCGAGTACTGTACACCTACTTCACCGTCTCTCCTGACCGGAAAGGAGAAAGCACCGTGCTCAAAGCACGCCGGGCGGTCACGCACAGTACTGGTGATCGGACAGACGCCTCATCGATCTGCGGACTCATAAATGCGGTTCATTAATGCTGGTCAAATCCACTCGGATAGCAGTCGTTCGTTGCCTCACACACAAGATGGGCCTTCCCATCGTAGGTGACAGGACATAAAGCACAATCCCTGGAATGACCATTCATGGTATCGAGGAGCAGCTAGACGTCTCTGAAGAAGATATGGTCACATCCCATAATTCAAGGATGAGTCAAGCTGTCCCTCTTTCATTTAAAAGCCCCTTCCAGCACACTGGAGGAGAGGTCGCAAACTTAGAGAAAAGAGTTGAGACCAAGCTGTTAGCAGATCCTTGCATTACAGCACCACCGCCTAGTTCCGAGCTCCGATCGCCGACGAACTAAGCAGACCCGAACTCTATTAACCCGAGCTTCTACTGCGTACTGAAGCTCCCCAGCAACCTCATTCGAACGGTCCAAGGGAAGCAGACTCGACACGAGCATCGAGCGAAGCATCCTGTAGCCACCTAAAGTCCCCACACAAAACAAAGAGGGCTTTCCCTCTGCTTCTGTTGTAATCATTTGATTTGTTAGTTTGTAATAAGCCTTCTTATTAATACAAACGAACTCTCCCCGTTTTCGGGAAA